AAGACAAGTGAGCATTTATAATTAAATGATATGTGTCACCTACAGTAATTGATTATTAAAACAGATTGAAAATAAGTGATTAATAAGGTAGATGTTGCAGGATGTTGCATCTGATGTGCTGAACAAATATTATCTGTGGTTTTTACAGGAGTAGCAGATTATATTTTCTTTTTTCTTTAAGCAGACTCAGTTTTTGCATACTTTTCCTTCCAGGCACTCATCACGCTCCTGTGCTTATATGGGATGGTGTGGTATGAGCAAAAGAAAGTGAAGGTGAGATGGGGCCTTGGGCTGCTTGCTTACTTAAATGTTTCTAGAGGTTTTGGTTTGCTTGTGATAGTAGAAACCTCCGTCTGTGGAATAGAACAGAGGGATGTACTACAAAGAAAGCTTAAGAGGTAAAACCTAAAATCCCAGTCACACACAGCAGGTATCACAGTGGTGGTTATCAACCTTTCTGTTAAGCCGGGCTTTCTGCTTCAAGGTTATGTGCAAATTTACATAAAAAGGGCCGTTTAATGTTTCACATGACGCTTCTTCTGCACAAAGTGATCTCTTTCAGTGAAAGCTACTCCAGTCAGAGATTATTTTCCGATGATGATGATTAAACAGTATATATAAATGACAACAACATATAAATAAAACAAAGTTAAATAGCTTTAAAATTTGACTCTCGTCAATACATCAAGTTTATTTTAATACTGAGTGAATCTCAGTGCTGCTGTGTAAGCATCAGAACCCAATATAAAAACATTTATATAAATTTTTTCCTCCATCGCCAACTGAACACATGCAAATCCCAGTAAAAATGCACTGCTTCAACTTTTTAGCTGCACGTTTGGTGGTGTTAGTAAGCTACGGCTTAACAAGCTGCACATATTAGATGTATTTACCCAGCAGAGGATCTTTATCACATGGATATGATGTTTAAAAAAAGAAAAAAGAATCAGTGAAAAGCATTTCTTGATTATTTTAAATTAAAACTCTGCTCCTGACCAGGTTATGTGTGCAGCATGAGTTACCATGGTGATTTAGCCAAAACAGAGTCACTTTCTTGACACAGAAAACTTTGACTTTAACCTCGATATAGCTCACTGTGCCATTAATCTCCCTTCACGGTGCACCCCTCTGGCGTTAGCATTAATGTCAACAGTTAACTGTTTCTAAGTGCCCTGTGTGTAAGCATGGCACAGCACCACCATTAGAATATGACGGTGAGCATGGATGCAGAAAACTAGGACTCTGAAACCGTCTGTATATTTTGAACCAAGCCGGAGCAGTGTTTTGAGCGAGTGAGTTGTACAGACTGTTTGTGTTTGTGACTCTGGTTTTCTTTTTGTTGGCAGAGAAATTCTCTGCAAAGGCACGACTGCAATGACAGGAGTGTTATTGACTCATGTGGTTTCATCACAGATGGTGCTGCAGGTCAGTCTCATAACATGCAGATTGATGACAACGTTTCACTAAACTCCATCTCAAATGTTTATCATGTCTTGTGTCTCTTTGCTCCACAGCTCAGGAATATTCCTCAAGAACTGTGCAGCCTGCAAAACGGAGGAGAGCTGCAGGCAGGAACAGATTTGTAAATGGTCAAGGAGGAAAGAGACAATAAGCAACAACTGATACTGAATATTTGTGACCTCTGTGGAGGAGGATGAGGAAATGATGCGCTTACCAAGAGGAATACAGTATGCACTATGTGGATGGATTTAATTAATATTGTAAGTTGCATCATTGGTGCAATTAATCCCCAAAAAGTAGATTCCAGAAATCATATCGGTGTTACTTGATAAACCGTTTGAACTTCTAAAGGTGTGGGAGGCCAGAACACGACAGCAGGCTTAAAGTTTGATTGAATTTCTTTTCTATTAAATGTCAAAGACGTTTCTAAATAAACTTAAGTAATGAGGTAATATGTGCTGGAGTTTGAGAGAAAATGGTGCCTTATTTGGACTGTAACAGCAGTCTGTGTCATTCCACAACCAATATTGTTTTTAAACACTGGAATAATGTTGTCAAGTGAGGGGTGTACCAACCAGTCCACACCCACCATCCTGTACAACAGCGGTCCCCAACCCCCGGGTCTCAGACCGGTACCGGTCCGTGAGTTGTTTGGTACCGGGCCGCAAGAGTTGAGGCTCAGGTGTGAAATGTATGGTTTTCAGGGTATTTATCGGTTTTCAGCGTTATTTTGTTATCGTTTTTATCGTTAACTCGGTTTTCTTGGGTCTTTTCACACGTGTTATAAATAAATCTTTTTTTCAGTACCGGTACTAGTTTTATTTTGTTGTATTTATCCGCGACACCTTAAAGGCCGGTCCGTGAAAATATTGTCGGGCATAAACCGGTCCGTGGCGCAAAAAAGGTTGGCGACCGCTGCTGTACAACACTCATGTAGACTATTTGCACTAAACCTTTTTAACTGGTGTGTTTTTATTTACTGACCTTAATAGCTTTAAGAAACACTAAAGATCTCAATTACTGTTGGGTTTAAGAGTTGTAGATGGGTTGATTCTGTGATGATTTGATGATGATGATTATTAATGTTGTCAGTTTAATATTTTTACGGTTATATGATGCTGGTGCATTTACTGTCTATAAGTTTCTTCAATCAAAACAGCATCAGCAGGAAATAGACTTTGTCTATGTTTTAAACGAGTGTAAGAATTACTTAACCAGCTGTTCCTTTATTAAAGTTTTTTTAGATGTGTGATGCTGTGTATGAATGTGTGATGTACCCAACACAGAACTGTGACATTCAGTGGCTCAATATTTGTGTAAAAAGATCTTTTTTAATGCATTTTTTTATGATCTGGATTGACTAAATGTGACATTAATAATACAACATGTGATTACTTTAAATAAGCTGTTAAATGTGTAGAATAAGCTTTCATTTAGTGTTAGTTTTAATTTCAGTGCTAACTTTCTTCACTGATTATTTTAATGTATTGAGTTTCAACTGCAGACAACACAGCAAACAGTGCATGACATGTTACTACCCATGAAGGATTTGAATGGCTGAACTGTTTTTGTACACATAATTAAAACAAAAATTAAATAAATGTAGTCTTTTTTTCATGTTTTTTTATTTCATTGTTCTCTGTGTCCCTCAAAACAACAACAACAACAACAACAAGAGGACAACAAACATTAATTTTACAGTTCTTTTGTTGACATTTTAAAGGAACAATTTCCCTGGGTACTTGAAATATCTATGGCTTTCTACAACACATTTTGTGAGTGCAAAGCTATATTCAACTGCCATTTTATTACTTGCATGTTTCTAGTATTGGGTTGCCTTCAGAGCTTCTTTAACCTTTTGTTACATAGATTCGTCCTGCTCTTAGCGGACATGAGCAGCACCTTGTGTGCTCTTCTGCTTTAAAACTTGGTGTGTTGTATTCAGAGATGCTCTTCTACATGCATCTTGCCTTTTAAGTGGCTCGTTGAAATCTCGGCATTATCCTCTGACCTCTGACATCACGGACCAGAGAACGGCCACTTACAAGAAAATCTCCCAGTAGATCAGCAGCTTCTGAAATATTCATACTTTTTTGGCATCAATAACCATGTCATGTTCAAGGTCACTTAGATCACCTTTCTTCCCCGTTCTGATGCCCGTTTTTTCTTGACATTGTCTTCATATTTACATTCTTCAGTGTACTGAGTTTCTGCCATGTGTTTGGCTGATTAAACAAGTGTACCTAATATAACTATCAATGAGTGTAAAAAGCAAAGCATTGGTTGTATATCTGATTTACTCTTAATGTGTAGAAAGATGTAATTTATACACCACATTATACAAGTTACACAGGAATGCTTAATTCAGCCTCCACAGGAGTCTGAAGGGGAAATGGTTATGAGTCACCTTTTCATTTAGTTCTGCCAGCTACCACAGTGAAATCCAACATATCGTTGTTATAAAGAATCAAAATGGGTCAAATTGTTTGTGAGATGAAATATGGTGATGTAGCAGCTATCGTTTATCTGAATTACTATTTAATTGTTCTTTAATGTATTTTTTTATTACTTAAGTTAACTGTTGGTGTTTCATCAGGAAGGGTGTCTGTCATAAAATATTTGCCAAATAAAACCACAGGGAGAGGCAAGGCTGAGATGGTTTGGGCATGTAGAGGAGGGATACTGGATATATGGGACCAAGGATGGTGACTATGGAGCTGCCAGGAAGGAGGAAAAGAGGAAGCTCACAGAGAAGATTCATGGATGTAGTGAAGATGTGTGTTGTTGATACATTCCTGCATACCTTGGCATATGATTCCGGACCACAATACAGTTATTACTTTTAATGCATATAAGCCTATATTTTTACAATTTTGCACTATTATTTAGTTGGATTATTACTTTTATTTAAGTAAAAGGTCTAAACATAATAATTTACCATTTTGTTAAACACTTCTTCAAACCAAAATATTCTTCAAACCTTTGTGTTGAATTAAACTCTTTGTTTACTGTATTTATTTATGATCAAACATTCATAAGTTGAGCTTCCCACTACTATGAAATTTTACTTCCACCATTTGCCAGGCAGATCTGAGTCAAAATCTAAAGTCCTTATCTCAAAATGTCTCAAAATCTCAGAGACGTGTAACCTGAAATTATTTGGAATTCTTAAGTCAATATTTGGAATGACAGACAACAGAAAATATTTTTCTTTTTTCAGTGGCAGAAACAAGCTTCCATATCCCTCCCCCCTACAACATCATTTAAAAAAAAATCCTGAAAATGCCTAGACAAAAGGAAAAAAACTCATTTTTCCCCTTACAAATATATGTTGTTTAACCGTATACTTGTGATTTTTTATTTATTTATTTTTTGGTCAATGTAAATGTACAAATGTCCTTATAATTACTCGTATTACCCTTATGATAATAATTATCTCCATGATGCCATAGGCTTGACCTGTCGAGTTTACCTCCTTTGTTAGGTTGTGCAACTACATTTCCCATAGTTCCTTTGAGAGTAGCTACTGTGTTGGATGACAGCTATCCGGCGCCGAAACACCGAAAGATACTCAGACGACAGAGCCATGGCGGCCACGGGTGGAGGGAAAATTAGAAGCAGGAGATATCATATTGCCGCTAAACCTTACGCCAAGAGTAAACAGGTAAACAGAATGAACAATTTAAGTTTAAAGCCCGTTTCGAGGACCGTACAGTGACTGTAATGCTTGTATTCTTGAGGTCTTGTTATTGTTTAGTTGGAGACATTTTGTGGCCTGCAGTTAGTGCTCGTGGCCTCCACGCGCTGCTAGCATGCACAGGAAATGCTAACGGCTAAAGGCTAGCTAACTAGCTCATAGGTTAGCAAAAGCAGGCGGGCTTGACAGTCAAATCGCAACACGGTGTGTCATTTACATTAGGTTACGAGTGTTGATTAAGTGCTCATTCACATGCGAGAAGTTGAGATGGCCAACATTTGTTGAAGTCGTGAGTTTTTAACTGTTAACAAAGTTCGTAGAAAGCGAGGAAGTAGGATTCTAGCCGTTAGCCGATGGAGCTAGTGCTAGTGGACGCTAGTTTCGGGGAACGGCGCATTGTTGTCCTCGGTTCTTAAGTTTTGAGGCGTCATACTGTTGCAGGTAGACGTGGCAAGATGGTTTGGTTCTAAGTAACAACTGTCTCGGGGTACACATAACTGTTTTCCATTTTAAGCTTGTGTTGGTGGGCTGGGTGGAAACCTTTTAAGTGCTAGGCACCGTTAGCCAAATCAAAGCCAGCTGAACTGCGCAGAGAGCATTGGCTGCTTGGAAACCCACATGGTTACCTTAGTGGGTATATTTGCCGCCTGGACAGCGGTATTGTTGGCTTTAAGACCACCCTGTGATCTTAATGGTGGCTAAGACTATCTTGTGTACTTTTGTGTTTTTGTCAGTTTAAAAAAAACTCCAGTTAACTACAAGTGTATTGGCTACTGGAGTGCAAATTAACTGGAAATCTTTCTTCCTTTCTTTCTTTTTTTCGAGAAATATACAATCGACTTTCCTTGACAATCGTCTTTAATAGTCGTAGTTGTACAATCATCAGCACCAGCACAAAGTTGTCACATTTATGAATTTCAAGTAAGACAGGATTTTGGATAGATATTATTAATGATCAAGATATATTGATTATACAAACAAAATACTACACATTTTTTAATTCGACTCTTCTGGGTTTCATGGTTTTTGTTTTCCTCCCGTGTTTGATGCTCTGGATCAGGTAATATCACAAATCAAGTATAATCAACATGTTTCTATCAAGCATTATAATTGATTGCATTCATACGACTATGTTTGACTCTTTACAAGTTGTGGCAGTGATTTATTAAGCTGCTAATTGACCAGAATCCAATTCAGGGTCACAAGGGCAGAGGGCTGGAGCCCATCCCAACTGTCATAGAACGACAGGTAGGGTACTCCCTGGGCAGGTCGCCAGACTGTTATAGGGATAATGCATATACACAGAAAAACATTCACACTTCTACCTAAAAGCACCAGTTAACCAACAGCAGAAAAAGAAGATTCATGTAATTTTCCAAGCTCTGCTGTTGTCGTGCCAGTGTCATGTTACAGCTCTTAACAGCATATCTCACATAATCAGCAACCCAGATTTTGCATAATTCAGCATTGATCCCATGTACCCTTTTGACTTCGCACATAGTGTTAAAATAGAAATGGCATTCATGGTAACAATGAAGACAAGTACATGAAACTGTGGCATGAAACACAAAAAGAAGTTGAATAGTTTTTCATCTCTGTAACATGCGAGTCAAGGTTAAGTCTTTTTAAATTGTGCATCGATTCAATAGCACATGATGCAGAAGTGTTTGAACTTTCATATTTAAGTAAAGTCTCACTCACCCTCAAACAACAATTACCCAAATCTTATTTACAGTTTAAAAGATAGGTTTAATTTTTCATCATCAGTTTTGTTTACACAACACTTTGTTGAGAAAGCAGAAGGAGCTTGGTAAGACATGCAGTGTTTGTGCTGTTTCTGTCTTGATTCACTTCTAGGATTGCAATTCTTCAAAACAGTCGGGCTGGCTTCACTATAAGAGCACAAATTTAATTAGATATTGTTCACTTCAGGCTTCTCGAGGTTGACGTGCAGTTCGTGCAACACTCTTGGGTCTTAGCTATGCTACTGTGTCTACAGTTATGATTTTTTTTTTTTTTTTTTTTTTTTTGTTTAAAAAGCAACACTATGGTGGTGCTTATGCTCATTTTTCACATTTTATACACATGTGAATACACTAGTGTATTTGCACACAGGGTAAAGTACAGGGTGCCCCACAGGTGTGTGGCATAGATAAGGAGGAAGGAAGGAGCATATATAGCTTATCAAGTGTTGAAAGTCACTGCGGGGTACATGGTGTCTCCAAAAGATGCACTTGCAAGCTGGTGCTTTTCCTCAGAGCTTCCTTTTCTGCCTTCTCTTATCACAAACAGCATTGATGTCTTAATATGAAGACACCCAAGTACAGCAATAACACCAGACTTTACATTAAATAAATGTTTTCAATAAACGTCTTCTTGCATCAAAAGACCACCAATTTAGAATCCACTTAGTCACTTATCACATCACCTGTTCAAAAAGCTTAAATCTGAAGAAGACTAATCTTTTCACCTGCTGTTTCAGGTTACACACTGAAAATAAGGCTGCTAGGCTGAGTTTTTTTTGTTTTCTTTTGTTTTTAAGAACAAACCAAAAGTAAAATGGTCTGTGTGCTGAAAGTCTATTTGCCACATAGCTTCAAATTTGGCAGGTTCTTGTTAAACTTAGCTACAGGCTGAGAGATCGGTCAGTCCTCTCTCTGGAACTGTTTTCACATTTGGTGTCTCTGGTCAGGATGCTTTCTGAAGTTTCCTTTTCTCACATTTTGCAGTCAGTATGAAACAGTTCATATCAGACATATTAACACTGCTGGAAATATTCTGTTTGGTTTAGCTGATGAAGCTAGCAGAGCATAAATGAGTTAGGACGCAGGCAAGACTGCTCAATAGTGCACTGGACTGTCCTCACATCAGCTCAGTCTGACCTCACACAAACTTTTGGGTGGATATTTTTCATTTGAATTGATTAATGTGTAGAAAAATTTCCCAAGATCGAATCCATATGTGAAAACACCCTTTTTACCTTCTTAGTATGAAGATTAGCTTGCCAGTATGCCAAAGAGACAGAACTACAGTTATGTCATTACTTTACACTAAAACAAGAAGAGTGCTATCAATGAGGGCACAGTGTTCCTCGTGTTTAGGTTGTATTTTGTGGCAGAGGCAGGGAGTATATGCACACTGCAATAGCAGTTGCTCATGGGCATAAATTATTAACTTGTAACGTGCCATGTGAAAACCTGTATAAAGTTCAAATTTTTTTATTAAAAAAAATTCTAAAATGTAAGAACTTATAGATTAACATGCAAAAAAAGTTTAATTTATCTGTGTTTAATTGTTTTCCATGACTTTTTAACTCAAAGATGTCAAATTATGACCGATGTTTATTGTAGTTTAATAATTACACAAATTGTCACCTGTAGTATGTTCATAAATAATTAAACTTCTGATAATGTGCATTATCATAGCTTATATTTCGGAAAAAATCACTAAGCACTAATTAGCTGCTCTCCACTGAGTGTCTCCTGCTGTGGATGAGTTTCATCATTGTGGACTGCAGTTGCTAATGGTCGAGCTCGCTTTGTAGCCTTAGTGAGCTGTGTGTAGAGGTCCATGACCAAGCTCTCTAGTTGCTGTAGTTTCTAGTTAAAGTGAATCACAGTTCTTCTGCAGGACAAATTAAGGACTGCTGTTGTCAACTGCAGTCCAAGATGGGGAAGTTGGAATACAAGGCCCAGAGCTAAATTGCATAGACTGATGAGCTACCGAGTAGGGAGACAAGAATGAGGGGAACTAAATTAATTGTAGATTGTTTTGTTCTCAGAGATGGCTTAAAAAAGTTACAAATCATAAAATGTGTGTCCCAGTATAACTGGGTGTTGAAATGCATTTACTTTCTATGCATGGTATTTAGAAGATTTGACTCCTCTGCATCGACAGGAATTCATCCAGTGTTTGACCTGAGTACAGTGCAGAACGTCACTTGCTCAGTGTTTCACAGAAGCATGCACAGTGCCTGACCCAATTTCTGTGCTTGTTTTGTTTTGCGCCAGTGAAGACGAATAGAGTCTCATTGCAAATGACGGGCTGTGCACTTGATTCAAATAAAAAAATCCAATGTATAGCTGTAGTTTGCTAATCTGCAATGTCCAGGGTTTTTATGACTCGGTTATGTGGAGTTGATTTACCACAAGTTTATTAGGTCTTTTGACTGAGTATGGGATTTTTTTGTGTTTTGGTGTTAAAAGTGAAAAATCCACAAGACTCAACTAGCAACACTTTTAGCAGGGAATTTTATTTTACATACATTGCATAGTGTCCAGTGCTAAGTTGTCAAAGGAATTTTCAAATGAAACAGCTGCAAATACTGACTTGGTTTGTTTTTTATGTTTAATTTAAATATTATTTATTTTACACCCTTATTGACTCTTTCCTCTCCCCTCCTCTTGGTTTTATCAGCAGCAGTCAGGCCTCATCAGTCGAGTGACAGACACAGTAAAGAGCATCGTTCCTTCCTGGCTGCAGAAATATTTCAAGAATGGCGATGCTCCTGAAGGAGGAGTGGATATACATGGGACAGAGCAAAACTGCAAACCGCCTCCTCCTCCTAATGGTAGCGAAGAGGGACCACCTCCCCTCGATGGACGTGACTCCCCAGAGCCAAGTACTAGTAACACAGGTGAGGGGTCTTTCAGATCATATGGTTAGTGGTGATATTTTTTTTGTATTGCTGAGCTCACCTGTCACATTTGTCCTTCTTACACAGAGCCCTCAACAAGCAGAGCATCCCTGAACTTTCAGGAATATGTGCTCTCGCGACCTCCTCTTAGTCGCTCCCATCTCCACTTCACCCCACTGGATGCCTCCTCCCCAACTTTGGGGGCTTCCAGTAGCCTCTTCTCACAGCCCTCCACCTCCTCAGCCCCTGGACCCTTTTCCACTGGCTTTTCCTTGGTAAAAGAGATTAAGGATAACCTGTCACAGCATGAAGATGATAACATCTCCACCACAAGTGGATTCTCCTCCCGTGCATCTGACAAGGGTAAATAGATGGCAGATTTGTGTGTTTAAGTGTTTTGTAATGTAATCTGACATAATGTAAATATTTAAAAAGTGGCAGCTACAAACATGAAATCCGCAATGTTCTGCATACACTCGCTTTTCCTCCAAAGTGGGTTGAGATAGTGGAGCAGTTAGAAGAAATTTAATTCTCAGTTGATGAGTGAATTGAGCCTCAGTGTTGAGTTCTTTGGATCTGTTGTGCCGTTAAACCGGTCTGTGTTCAGACTATTTGGCTACTGTTGTTTAAATGTAAACACACAACTACAACCCCATATATAGCCTTGACCGCAATGTGTTGGACTTCCATACATTTGCATATGCAAAGCTGATTTCTTTATTCCAGGACTCTACCCTTTGAATACTGTTTGTTCGTGGGATGAAACCATGTTTAGCACAGCTAGTAAGGTAATTACAGGATGAAGAAAGGGAGTCTGAACAGATTTGACGTAAAAGTTATAATTTGAGTTGATTTTTATGATCTTCTTATAAACATTGTTTTTCTCGCCTCAGACTAAGCAGAACTGGTGATTTTGCTTTTTGGATACATTTTTAGATTAAAATGCAATCAAATAAGTATTGCATATGTGGATGGGCAGTTCAGGTAGAGGGGATCTAGTATATACAAACAACTCAGCCACATAACCAAAACAAAGTGCTGTAATTAAAATAAATAAATAAATTACAATTTATATCCCACACTTTTTGGACAGATTTTCAAAGCCCTATAGAGCCACGGCTAGAAGCTAGATTAACACACTAGTGCTCTCTTGAATTATAGAGATTTTCAGTATCTCTTTCTTTTTCAGATGTCCCCACTTCTAAAACGGCATCACTTCCTCAGCTTTGGTCCCCGGAGACAGACAGAACAAACTCTGGACCTCAACCTTCCCAGTCCAGCCTGAAAAAGCCTGCTTTCAACCTGTCTGTCTTTGGAACATCATCCAATGTGAGTGTTTGTCTGTCCAACAAGATCCTGAATCTCTCAGCATGTAATGTTTCTAAAAAGCTCTTAAAAAAAGAGTTTCATACATGTTTTACCAGGGTGCCATGAGATGAGTGAGGAACATGATTGGGTGAAGCTTGCTTATCACAACAGCTTCATGTAAATGTGCTGATCTTTGCTTCGAAGTGCAGTCAAATGTTGATCCTTCGAGCTCTAAATTATAAATTTACAGTGATATTTTTGTTGGATAATATTAGGGCGATTATTTTGATAGTCGACTAGTTACCGATTATTTTTACGATTAGTCGACTAATCAGATCATGCATCTATTGGACGTACAACGTACAGCTTATTGCACCAGCATGCATCTGCTCTTATATAACTATCATTAGCTTACAGTTTTAAGTGTTTAAGGTATGTGCTAACTAAAAATAAAGACAAGATGATAGTTTATTACATTTTAATGAAATTTGCTGATTGTCTCGGTGAAGTTTAATAAACTCAGCCATCTGCTCCTTGCTATCTAAAATATAACAGGACACTGGAGTATATTCTCTACCATCTCACACTTCTGATGATCAGTTGTCTGCTTGACGTTTATACATCTGTGTAAAAACTATAACTTTAAAACTAAACTCAAAGGCCTACAGGCTGCCTCAATAATGTGTTTTTTTTTTTTAACTTTTTTTTGTTTTATGTTGAATGTGCTCTTTGCCAGACTCCTGAAAAGATTTGATCTCAACATCTGGTTAAATAAAGTAAATAAAAAAAATCTCAGCAAAGGAACAAATAAAATACTGAAAAAAGCCAAACAACATTGTTAAGTTATCTAAGTGACTGGTACATCACGTTTGACCTGAGTAGCGAAAGAGGGCGGTGGGTTTGAAAACAATTTGCCGGGAGTTCGGTGTTCTCACGGGCTCTAGTGAGCCTTGAACCCCGGCTAGCTATCGAGCTGGTGGGTAACAGACGTCTCCGAAAACGTCGGAGCGCTTTTGAAAATATGTGGTGTCTTGATAAACTGAGCAGATATTTGAGGTTTACACAGCTACATTCTCGCCTGAAAATATGCTAAACGTTTATTTTGTGACCCAGAAAGAATAATAAGAGTAATATTAAAACTAACTAGCTGCCGCCATTGTTGGAAACTGAGCAGGGCCGCGCTATGAATTCTGGGACACAGCTTCTTCTTCTTCTTCGGGGTTTAACGGCAGCTGGCATCCTTGTACATGCAGTGCTGCCATCTTCTGTTTCAGTCCGCTATTACACTCTTAAATTCTACTACTTATTCCTGCATCTTTTGGGATCTTACAAAGTCGACTATTAAATTAGCCGTCAACAATTTTGATAGTCGACTAATCGTGGCAGCCCTAGATAATATGTAAAATCACTGTTACTATCCCTCTAAGAGACAATATCTTGTTTACAAGATTACTTTAGTAATGTTAGGCTGCTTTACATTTACTTTTTGAGGCCAACCAATTCATAGCAAGTAGCATTGCTGTTCAGTCTAGCTCTGATTTTAACAAGACAAAACAACAGTTGAATATTTAAACAAAAAAGTAAGAGTAACGCCTAATACAAGTCTGAGCTTGTCGGACATGTTTTAGGAAGCTCTAATGTAACAGTTAGTAATTCCCTGTAAAACCACATGAGATTATAATAAATTAACTTCTAAGAATATGTGAAAGCTATGGTTTGACCAGTAAAATTCATAGTATACCTTTGACTTTCATTGTATATTGAAGGCACTATAACACATATTTGCAGTTTAACTTTGCACTTGATTTATTTTGAAATGTTTTTCTTATTTCATGAGTTAAAGTAAAGTAAATCATAACAAATAGCCCTCTCATAAATTAGGATAACTAATTTAGGAATGTATGAAAAAATGACTCAGAATTATATTTACCTTCCTCCGTTCCAGTCCACTTTAAACAGCACTGTGCTGAACTCTAGCCAGCTTGGAGATTCACCCTTCTACCCCGGGAAGACCACCTATGGTGGTGCAGCTGCAGTCAGGAGCTTGCGCAGTCGTCCTGGAACACCGTATCAGGTGAGCAAGATGATGGTCATGTATGGTGTTAAAACAGAAGCTTTTATTGTTACCATGGCACCGAGTAGCAGTCTATCGCAGTAGGTCTTATGCGTTGTATTTTATTTATTTATTTTTTATTTGGTTGGTACACCCTTGTAAAACATAATATTCATGCATTCACTCTGTTACATTTACAGGTGTGCTTGCATTTATTTTTAATGTAGCTTGTGTTGAATAAAACAGTGAAAACATGGGTTGCACTGAAGTATATTTTTAATCTTGTAATAAAAAGTGTCTATATATCAGGAGTTTTTGGATTGTCTAACATTGTAGTAGTTTGCAGTAGTTTCTGAGGGTCGGATTTGATCCAGAAAAACACATGAATGCCCTGCTAATGTAGACTGTTGTTCTGGTAGTGTAATGTAGTCCGGCTTATCCAGGTAGACAGTTTTATCTAATAAAGTCCTTCTTCTTCTTCTTCTTCTTCTTTTTTTGTCTGGCTGATGTTAGGATTATCTGCTTTTGTGACCACAGTGATTGGTACCAGATGTAGCACGTAGCTAGCCAACCTTGGCTTGATTGTTTGCTAATGTTGCCTTTGGCAAAATGGCACTCAAAACCACAGCAGTTTTGTGTTTGTTGAGTTTGTGTTGGAGTCTGTTTGGTGGAAGCTATTAGGACTGTGTGGTATGATTAAAATCTCATATCCTGATATGTTTCTGTTTTACATGAGAAATTTTGTACTCAGGACTGAACATTACTCATTCATATACGATTATTTGTCTCTTTTATTTAAAACTCATGAGCAACTGTTTAAGAATGTAAAAATGCGACTTTATAAAGTCTAAAATACTTCTTAAAACTAAATGATTAAAGACCCAGCATAAAATATTATTATACAAAACATCAAATATAAACATTGTACCTTAAAGGTTCACTCTAGGATTTATTTTGACCATGTGATGGTTCTTTTGTTTCTCATTCGTAAACTTGCTCCATATTCGTTCATATGGTTCTTTCATAGGTGGTCGAATAGGTTTGTGGTTGCCCGTTTTGCGGACCACTGTGCAGCATAATATGCAAAGTACAGTTTGGTCTCTGTCAGACTTTCTGTAACTAAACAAAGTTCTTGATACAGAGGTAGTTCCTGGGTTAGCAGTAAGATCCTTCATTTGTCTCAACTCACCGGTCTCTCTTTCCGAGCTACAATGTGTGTTCTGTCTCAGCTCCACTCGTCATTCTGGTATTCATGTTTCTGTTTGCATCCATGTGTTGCCATGTAAGATTGCCCACCATAATACAAATGATGATGAAAATATCGCTGTAAACGGTGTATTTGGCAACACAAGGAAATATATAAGTGGTTACTGGAATCCATTTCAAAGCTGTTGTTGCTTACTTTTGGTGATGTGAATGAGAAGGAGGCACAGCATTCAATTTTTGTCCTGCGCACAGACACCAGTCCACACGCTGTTGGGTGTAAAATGCTAGAGAGGTTAAAGGTATAATATGCTCATATATTGGCAATAATTGTGTTTAATAAACAATAAATGTTGCATAGAGCATGTTTAAGATGTTGGAGTAAGTTGTTTGTTTGTGATACTGACATTATAGTTTGAATATTGATTAAACTGTAGACTGAAGTAGTTTATCTGATATGCAGGCCCCGGTGAGGAGACAGATCAAGGCCAAGCCTGCTGGTGCTCAGCCCTGCGGGGTAACCAGCGCCACAGCCAGACGCATCCTGCAGTCTTTGGAGCGCATGTCGAGCCCACTTGCTGTGAGTACACACATGCAAGATGAAATTATACTTTTTATTATACTAGTTTGGTGTCCCACACGGAAGTGAATATGCAAATATAAACATTGTCGAAATGTTCTGGCAGGTGTTCCTGCTTAAAATCTTTAAACCTGATGGACATTTATTTGTCTTCATTTACAGGATGCCAAGCGAATCCCTGCAGCAGCCTCATCCCCCTTACTGTCACCAGTAAGAGCTTTTAATATTCAGCATACACATCTGTGACACTTTGTACATTGCAGCACATGATGTGAGGATAAACACCCCAGACATTGAGAAGCTGGTTTATATTATTTTGTTATACTGACACCACATCCAGCCCAAAAAGTTCTCACTTGAGTTCTGTCTTGCAGCCAGTGGATGGTGTAAATCCAGATGCGTTACATCTCCTGTCTAAAAGGAAACGGGTAAGTACCAGTTTTAGAATATATGTGGCCATCAAAATTTTAGTTAGCTCATAGCTGTCCAATTTTAGCCTTGTACCTCTGGTTTGTTAATAACGGTGTTGAATGTGGGTGAAAGCTTGTGGTTGCAGATCAACATCTACATTTCTCAAGTGTCCTCTGCAGTGTGCTTAGTGATACAAACAGGAGATCATTGTACAAGTGCAGCAGCACTTGTTGCAATTTGTCTTCATGTCATTTCTGTCTCCTACCGGTTTGGTCTCCTTTACGCTTATTAACGGGAGTCTCCTCAGCTGTTCCTCACTCTGTGTGTATCTCTTATGTGTCCTCACACACCTGTGAGCAAAACTCTGGCAGGCTCATGAAATGGTGTTAATGTGCGCTGTATTAAGTGCTGTCCATTGTTAAATTGTGCCAGCTCTGGAATGAACTTGTCCTCAGTAATAACTGTCAGGCGTTGCCAGCTGTAACAGCTGCAGTGCAGAACAATGGTGTATTCACCCTTACAGGTCTGAACAAGAAACCCTGCTTACCCAAACCAGGGCTTTCATGTGTAATTTCTGTTTTACTCTTGGCATGGTTCAAAATATAACCAAGCAGTTACTAGAATTTTCTTGGTTATGCCTCTTGAGGCAGTGGTATTTTATTTTTGTTTTTCTTTTAGTCTTACATAAGCAATCCTGATACGAACCCCATATTTTTAAATTAAAATATAATCTTGACAGTCCTCTGTGGGTCCACATTGCAATTTCTTTATGACAGCATCTGAAGGATTGCTATAAAGTTATCTTTGAAGTACAATTTTATGTATGTTTAGTAGAGCTGGGCGATATGAGATTTTTTCATATCACGATATGTTTTTTTCATTTCAGGCGATAACGATATCTATCACGATATAAGCCAAATAACTATATTCGTAAGATTTAAATGTGCCGTTGCTCACAAGTAAAATGTGAAATAATCAGCAGCTTGTTTTTATTTAAATATTTATTTCCCATAATAAGTTCAACAGGGTAGATGTACTTAAGGAACATGAGACTTTTTCAGATAAATAAAGGCAAATATTGCAAACTACACAAAAGGCAGCCGCTAAAGCGTTTAAGTTTCAAAATAGAACAAACGAAACAGACTAAATTGTCAATTCCACTTAGAAACAAAATATTAATTCTAAAAATAAATCTTAGTTTGTTTTACAGAAGAACAGACAAAACTGACTAACTTTTGTCAATATCAAATAAACTGAGAACTAAAAGGAAATTCTCAATCTCTCCTTGTTGTATAGCTTAGCTTTTCAAACAGTTTTAACAGTTACTTTAGTCTGACAAAAGCCGAATGATGAATTAGCGCTTCCAGTCAGAGACTGAGGCTACGTCCACACGTACACGGGTATTTTTGAAAACGGAGATTTTCCGTTTTCGTTTTAAAAAATAATCCCGTCCACACATAAAGGCAGAAATGAAGGAAAACGCTGCTATGAACATGCCAAAGCAGCAGGTGGCGCTAGATTCCTAACCGTGCAGAAATGTTGGCCAATCAGAAGTCTAGAAGCCTCGGTGGGAAAAAGTAAACAAAGCTGGGGCATAGAAGCAGAACCGAGTCGTATGTGTGGAGGGACAGTAACTGTGTGTATATGTAAGCATTTAAACACTGCAGAGAGTAGAATTAACAGTAACAGTATTGTAGAAATTCATTTCACCGAAACAATAACGTGGCGCACAGTGTGACGCATGCACCAGTTTATTGTATTTCCAGACTTGCTTTCGGCACAATTTACAGTGCACGCTACTCTGTTTTTTGTCAGACTTGAAATAGCCGAAATACCTTCACACTACGGAACTTCTATGGCTCTTCCGTTTGACAATCTCTCCGGCATTGGAACCATCATCTGTTTTCTCTTCGGTCACGCTCGGTTGATTTTTCTAGTCGGCACACTCATTTCCTCCATTACGCGCTGGCTCCATTACCCGCTGGCTGCTTCCCAAACAAACACACGTGCGGCTTGGCACTTGTGCTGTACGTAACAAGCCACGCGACGTGACGCTGCGGCTGTGATTGGTTCGGCTCTGCGCTACTTAATTTGGATTGGCTGACCTTTTTTTTTTCTTTTTCTTTTTTCTTTGAGGACAAGAGCGGCGAGGTCTATCGCGATAGCTTAATTTCTCTATCGAGTAAAAGTTATATCGCGATACATATCGTTATCGTTCTATCGCCCAGCTCTAATGTTTAGAGAAGTTGATGTTCACATTTCAGATCGGTTTCATTTTTGAGTAGAAAGGAATGAACTGTTTCTGAATATGGACACAGAAAAGACCAAGAATCAAACACTGCCCTCTCAGTTAACTCTATTTTTATTTATTTTTTTTCTCCTAAATCCAGATGGACTCTAACCTTCCACCGGTGCAAAAACTTGTGGTTCCTGCTGCTTCTGTGTCAGGAAACCGCTCTGTGTCCTTCAGGCCTACTTTAACCCCCGGAGGAGTGACTCGAGCTGTAGACAGGACTGCAAGAGATACGGTTAGTTGCACGGTGGTGCCTCCCGCCATGATATTTCTGTATTTGACTGTAGCCAGTCAGAATATATCAAATATAAAAACTGTTTGTAATCCCTTTGTTTTTGCATTATTCCCATAGCACACAAGACAATCACCACAGCTTCCTGAAGCGACCCCAGGTCCATCTCAAAGGTAAAACAGTGACTCTGATTAATCAGGTTCAAGTCTAACTTAAGAACGATGTTCCTGTCTCTGAGAAACTGAGGTAACAGTTTCCTCAGTCCATTTACTATTCTTACATTTTCAGATTTATGTCCTGCTTAAAAATCTTGTTTAGAATTTATCTCACAAATTAATTTATTTTAGTCAATTTATTCAAAGTAAGAAAACACAACAAGTTAAATGATTCAAATGGTTGTTTATACCTGTATTTGTTGTTTGTTTTTGTTGTTGTTTTTTTAGCACAAAGAGTTCTAGTGGACCAGTTTATCCTCTGTCCAGCACACCTGCAGTCAGCAGCGTGAGCTCTGGAGGAGGAAAGATGAAGAGAGGGAAGACCAGTGCTCGGCCCTCCTCCAAACGTCTGGAAGATGAGGTGAGATCTTGATTTATCTAATCGTGATCTTTTTGTAAGTTATCACAGTCTTCATCCAGTAAGAGAAACAAAGGTATAACGTGTTCCTTCTGCTTGTTTTCTGACTGCAGGTTGCGGAGGTGCCAGAGCTCCCGGCCATTTTACTTCCCATCAGCACATCTGCATTACCCACCTTCAGCTTCTCTTCTCCTTTGCCGCCGCTCAACACTTCCACTAGCTCCTCTCCCAAGATCCCGGCTGTTACTCCTGTTAAGGAAACAGTCCCAGATAAGGTACGTCTTAAAGCATCCAAGCGTTTTTCTGTCATAAAACTGCGAGTCTCAATTGTTAATTGACATCAAAACAAACTTTGAACTAGTTCAACTTGACTTTACTGGTGAGTAAGTGACTGAAATGATGCTTTTCAGTCAGCACCAATTAGGGCTTTTTTTTTTTCTTTTCACTTTTTACAGGATCCACCAAGAGCCTCAACACCACTTTTCACATTTTCCTCCCCTATTGTCAAAACCACTGCTGCTAGCCCACCTTCCTTTTCCCCCTCTGTAAGTATTTTTTCTACTTTTTTAATAATTACACAACCTTGCTTTAGAAGGTTAAATTGATAATTGTTTCTCTGTAGGCTGGATTTACTTTTAGTGCACCTGTAGCCAAGCTGGGTCCTTCTATGGTGAATGGAAAGCTGACCACGCCCATAGCAGCAGCAGGTAAGTGTTTTGTGTCACAAAAATGCCAGAGGCCCTTTCACATACATTGTGACAGTATATTTAAAATAGTGCTGTCAGCATTAATCTCGTTAAAATGACGTTAACACCATAACTGCATTAATGTGGCAAATCTGTTAACAAGTTGCCGCGGATTGCCCTGTGCGTAGGGCAGCAAGGCGTCAACGTGTCAGCGCGGTTAGCTCGTTAATGGATATTTGCCTCGTTAATGCAGTTATGGCGTTAACCTAATTTTCACAAGATTAATGCTGGCAGCACTATTTGATTGTATTGAGCAACGTGCAGCATGGTGTCGGCTGGTGAGCACTTGCTAATGTGTGTTGTACTGAAATTTTACTGTTGTGCAGTGTGATGTGTATCTGCACGACAGTTAGAAAAGATGGTGAGCAGCCACAAAGAAGACACAGTACAGTCAGAGTGAAGCACCCATTTTGCGCGGTTCCTTCTACTGAAATGATTTATGATAAATGGACTCATACTTGTATGTAGGGCTGGGCCATATTATACCGTTCACGGTAATACCGGTACAATGTTAGGCAAGAAAATTAAAAAAATCAGAAAAGAAAATATTGCGATAGAATATGGGTAAAACGCGCATGCGCAGTGCCTTTTTTCTTCATACGCACATGGCTGAAAAAGCATGGCGGCAACGGAGAATGAGAAGGGGAAAGCCAATCGTTGAGTGAAACGGATGACCCAGTTTGTAAAAATGGTGCCACTTCAGTGATGTGGAACTGGTTTGGTGTTTGTCTGTCAGATACCCACCAAGTATACCCACCAAGTACTTTACCAGGTGTAACTATGAAGTTTAACTTCCAGGCATCCATGAAAACAGAATTTATTACATTTAACGGAGTTAGAAGTTAGCAGGAAGCTAGCGGAAGTTAGCTCGCTAGTTTCGCTAGTTACCTAAGCATGATATTGCATGTTCTGACTGAGAGATTTCTGAAAAAATTCAAACGTACAGCTCTGCTGTCACTTCCAACATAAATGAAGACAAAAAACTAAACAGCAGTGACGTTTGTAGGGTTACTGAAGTTGGGCTAGCTGGTATATAATGATGTGCTACGTGATCGCTAGCGACACAGCTATGTTAGCATAACATAAACAGTGAAGCTGCAGGATAAACGCTAATACTTTTCCACTTAGTAAAAGCTAACGTGAGGGTTCCTGATGGTTAGAGACAAATGCAATCGCATGGCAGGATGCTGTAAACGGACCAAACTTCAGTCAGGAGAACAACTGAGATAATCCATCCACAATAGAAGGTTAGTCATTAATATACTGCAACAACATGGGAATAGAGCAGCTGTGATAGAATACAGCATTAATGAATCAATGTTACAGAAGCGGAGGAAGCAAGAAGAATGAGTTGAATAAAATTTGATTTATCTGACTGCTTTGTTTTGCTTAATGTGTCTTATAATCCCGTGCACCTTATGGTGCACTCTGAAAAAAAAAATGTATTTGACTTTTTTTATTTGGCACACTGCAGTTTAATGTTGCAAAGCACCTCTTTTTAACTTCAGTGGATATTATACATGGTTATGCTCAGGATATGTCAGCCCATTTCTACTGGAAATGCCTTTGGTTAAACTTTCAGCAAGGAATTTGCATTTGCACTGTTAAATTTTTATATAGCTTTAATGCACATTAAAAACAGCTGCTTGTTTAAGTGAAAATAAATGGATGGGTTTTTTGCACTAGTAAAGTTGTGGAGTTGTATTTTGTATTTTGTCTCGCATCAATTATATCGTCAGTTATATCGTTATCGCAAATTTTCAAATATATATCGTGATAAATATTTTTGGCCATATCACCCTGCTCTACTTGTATGCTTTCCTTCTACTCACATTGAGTATGCAAAACATTTCATACTACAAGTCCAATTCAGTACTTTTCCTCTATGCCTAAGCATTTTTCTAACATTCACATGCTGGTGTCTGACGTTTATTGGCAGAGGAGTGCTGTTCCGCACATGACGTCACCCTGTTAGAAGTAATTGTGGAGTGAGCTCTTTGAAGCCTAAATCATGAATTCTGGCTTCCTGTTAGTTTGTATCAACTGAGAAACCTTGAAATGAGTTTTTGGTCTCATGTTTTCATGTTTACAGTAAAAGCAGCTGTAAAAAAAAGCACAGAAGACTTTGAAGGACCTTTCAAACCAGCCAAGACCTTGAAGCAGGGCAGCGTCCTCGATCTTCTCAAAGCCCCTGGTTAGTCTTTGTATTTTGTGTTATCAAAAATTTTCAGATGTTTGACTTTGAAGTTCATTGCTTTAATTAATGTTCTGGTTTCTTCAGGTTTCGCCTCTCCAGTTGCTCAGATATCCCCAGCTCGCGATGCTACTCCCCAGCAGACGTCCACACAGTCCACTGCCCCCGCCTCCACCTCTGCAACCTCCTCCATTTCTTCAACGGGGTTTGGTGGTTTGTTCAAACCCTCAGCAGACTGGACCTGTGATGTCTGTTTGGTTCCGAACAAGCAGTCAGACACGAAGTGTGTTTGCTGCGCAGCCCCACAGCCCAAGTCTTCATCCAAATCCATGGACAGTAAACAGTCACCCTCCACCTCTGTTGGGCTGGAGAGCAGCAGCAGCACTAACACCACCTCTACCACTACAACCACAACAGGTTTTGGCACAATGTTTTCCAAACCTGCCGGCACCTGGGACTGTGATACCTGTCTTGTTATAAACAAACCGGATGCAGTAAAGTGCGTGGCCTGCGAAACGGCCAAACCCGGAACGGGACTCAAACCCTCACTGACTCTTTCTTCGGCCTTCTCGCCGGTTAAGACTGTATCTACTCCTGCAGCCGCAGTTTCTACAGAGTTCACCGGGTTTGGAGACAAATTTAAAAAACCTGAGGGTGCATGGGAATGTGATACCTGTATGGTGCAGAACAAAGCAGAGGACACAAAGTGTGTGGCCTGCACGAGTGCTAAACCAGGTAATGAATTAAAAATGTTGCTTTTCTGTTGCTGAATCTTGGCTTTAGGTTGCACCAGCTCTCCTTTGCAGTTTTTCAACTTTTATTTATATATATATATATATATATATATATATATATATATATATTATATATATATATATATATATATATATATATAAAAATGTATTTATTTTTTTCCCTCATGATCTCATCATTGACTGTGCAGGAGCATCAGCAGGAGCCTCTTCATCAACCAGCAGTGCCCCTGTGTTGGGATTGGCAGAAAAGTTCAAGAAGCCGGAGGGAGCCTGGGAATGTGATGTCTGTCTTGTGCAGAATAAAGCATCTGATGTACAGTGTGTCGCCTGTCAGGCAGGCAAACCTGGAGCTAAAGTGGAACCCAAGGGTAATAAATGGATTGAATTTATATAGCGCTTTTCAAGGCACCCAAAGCGCTTTACAATACCACTATTCATTCACATTCACACACTGGTGGAGGCAGCTACAGTTGTAGCCACAGCTGCCCTGGGGCAGACTGACAGAGGCGAGGCTGCCATATCGCGCCATCGGCCCCTCTGGCCAACACCAGTAGGCAAGTAGGGTAAAGTGTCTTGCCCAAGGACACAACGACCAGGACGGAGAGCCCACTCTACTTGCAGTATTTTTCAATAGCATGTAAATACTAGTTAAGTGTGTAGGGTACTAAAAGGTTTTCTCTTGTGTTGTTGTTTCATTACATCACTTTTCCCTCTTTAATTGTGTCCTCTCGTTTCAGCCTTTGGTTCTACTTTTGGTTCCTCAGCCAGTGGAACCTCAGGATCTTCTGCCTCTAGTACTGGAGGTTTTAAGTTTGGCACATCAGACAGTACTTCAGCATCTGGAGCAGGGGGTTTCAAATTTGGAGGCTCGCTCACTGAGTCGACCTCGTCTTCTTCATCAGGTGGATTCAAATTTGGAGTACCGTTTGGAAGCTCCTCATCAGAAACCACTTCTAAAGGCACTACTGCTACATCAGGGTTCAAATTTGGCAGCTCGTCTGAGAGCTTTAAATTTGGGGCTGCCTCTAGTGATGATAAAAAGTCAGACCAGCCTGCTGCAGGTTCTGGGTTTAAGTTTGGAGCTAGCGGTGGGATAGCGTTTGGAACTGGATCTTCTAGCACAGAAGGCAACTCTTCTAAGGGAGGCTTCACAATTGGACTTTCAAAACCCGAAGAGAAAACAACAGTCACCTCGACAACCTCCTCATCCTCCATTACTTTCACGCCTCCCTCCTCTCAAGAAAATAGTAACAGTAAAACATCTTTGAGTGACACAGCATATACAGACACCGGCTCAGGCAGCATCTCAGCAGCCACAGCCGGGTCTGTATTTGGGAAATTGGGGGAGCCGAGTTTGGCCACCAGTGCACCACAAGTAGTCCCTACTTTTGGGTCCTCACAGGCGGCTAAAGAACCCGCTGCTCCTACATTTACCTTTGGTAAGCCAGAGGAAAAGAAGGAAGCGGTTACCTCCTCTGCTCCGTCTACCTTCCTCTTTGCTGCTGCAAGTAAGGATGCAGATACTACACAGGCCTTCACTGGTGGCTTTTCGTTCAGCAAGCCCAATGCTCCAACAGAGCAACCTCCACCTGCTTTCACTTTTGGAAAGTCAACAGACAAGAATGAAACATCATCTTCAGAAGCCCCAAAGCCTACCTTCGCTTTTGGAAAAAGTGCTGCAGGTACTTAAATTTCTGTCACTTAACAGCACTTTGGGTAGATTGTGGTTTCTAGACCATTCATGCAGTTTCTTTTACTATCATAAAAAATGCTTAAGCAATTCTGGGATTCAGTATCTTGCTGCAGTTCAGTAGATTCATTTTATAAAATTTTAATCTTTTTCTTGCAAGAAGATGCCAAAGTATCCACGTTTTCACCCTGTGATTGTGTAGGTCTTTTGTGCTTAAAAAAAAACATTCTACTCTCTCATTGTATTACTAAGACCTCAGGATGTGTGATAACCTGGAAACATCTGTTTGTCTTTCATTGCTATGACATGTGTGTTGGTGCCTTAAAAGGATACTGTGGGTTTAATTGCTGTTTTCTGCTGTTTTATTGATCTCTGTCATGATCTCGTCCTGCACAGAACCTGCTTCTGCTGCTCCAAAACCAGCTTTTTCTTTCCTGGCAAGTAAACCAACCAATGTCACCAACTCCACCACTTCATCGTCCTCCACCCCAACTCCCAGTCTGTTTGGTGCTGCCAGCGGCAGCAGCAGCAGCAGCACCTCCACATCGGCCCCAGCTCCCTCTGCAGCTCCAAACACTTTCATGTTTGGTCAGCCTGCTGCGGCCTCCAGTGACGCTCCTCCAGCTAAAAACTTCATCTTTGGCCAGAGTCAGGACAGCCAGCCACCTGCCCCCTCAGCTGCGCCTCTCAACTCCACTTCTGCTCCTGCTCCAGCTCAGCCTTTCATCTTCGGTTCTCCAACCAATGCTGCTGCTGCTGCTGCTCCTGCTCCTGCTCCTGCCTGCTTTGGTGCAGCAGCGCCTGCTGCCCAGCCCAGGTCTGTAACTATGAAGTATCTACATCAGGTATTATAAGTGATCAATTTGTTTATGATCGACATATGTATTTATGTTTTCTATTCTTTTTCAATCACAGCTCCATCTGCAGGTCCAACCCCATTTGTCTTCAGCTCGGCTCCCTCTGCTGGGTTCGGGAACAACCAAACTCCTTCATTTGGATCATCTTTCGGATCTCCTTTCCCAGCCACACCTTCCCAGACCCCAGCTTTTGGGGCCAAACCCAATCCTCCCCCGGCCTTTGGACAGCAGAGTAACCCCACCCCTGTATTTGGGCAAGGTGCTAATCCCGCACCAGGTGAGTGGCTGGCTTTCGAGCCTCATGATTTTAG